TCAGTTACATCAGTGTTTAATGGGAGAGCCTCCAGGAGATAAGAACATAAGAGAAGCCAATGTTGGATCAGGCCAATGGCCCATCCAGTCCAACACTCTGTCACACAGTGGCCAAAAACACTAGGTGCCATCAGGAGGTCCATCAGTGGGGCCAGGACACTAGAAGCCCTCCCACTGTTGCCCCCCCAGCACCAAGAATACAGTGAATCGCTTGCCCCAGACTATACCTTGTAGCTAATAGCCACTGATGGACCTCCATGTTTATCAAATTCCCTCTTTTTTATATAATTCTTTTTATTGATTTTCCAACATATGAAGAAAGACAAAAATAATTATTCAAAACAAACTAATATATCATAACATAGCCCATTACAGTGCTGATCTCCAGAGCTACTATTTAACCTGACAATCGCAGTTATTCAAATAATCTAATACCTAGTATCATCAGAGTCACCGGTCCACTAATCCCTTCAATATCTGTATTGTCGACTTTACCATCATTCAAATTACCTGATCATCATTTTCCCTTTTATTACTGTTTCCCCACCTATTCTGTTGTAACAATTCCTATCCAAAACAGAAAACAGGTACGGTATATCCCATTACATCAACAACAGCCCTCCATCTCGTATCTTTTCTCTCTACCCCTAGCTTTGCTTATTACTCCAAACTTATTCACAATATATTTTCCTTTGGATACTACGCCTTTTATGTTCTATATCCTAACATCCTAGCACCTCCCTTTCGCTTTTATAATTAATAGTTAGCATAAAGAAAATAACACTGCTAACTTAAAATTATGAAAAGGAAAATTATTATCCAAATACCTTCTCTTGATTTTTAACAACAAAAACAAACATTATTATCTAGTTTATAACAGTTAATAACAGAGTCATACTTTCTCCAATACAAAGTTGAAATTCAGAAATTCATTAAATCAGCCAATCACAAAAATTTCATTTGTACAAACTATATCCTCCTCAATTCCCCAACTTAAAATTATGAAAAGGGAAATTATTATCCAAATACCTTCTCTTGATCAGAATTGAATTTTTAACAACAAAAACAAACATTATCTAGTTTATAACAGTTAATAATAGTCATACTTTCTCCAATACAAAGTTGAAATTCAGAAATTCATTAAATCAGCCATTCACAAAAATTTCATTTGTACAAACTATATCCTCCTCAATTCCCCCCCCCACATAACACTTACATTATAGTAAATCATAATTTCTCCAGTACAAGTTTAGTAATCAAAGGTTCATTATGGTAGCAAATCAGGAAAACATCATTTTACACTTATATATAGTTTCTTCTCATTCTATTGTAAACATTAGTCACAAATCTGATTTCTTCTTTCCAGAATCACACTTAAATGCCTCGGTTTTGTACAAGTAGAACCCGATTTCCAATTTTCCCCAGCTATGTTCCAATACACCGGTCTTCAAGCTTTTATTGTCCCTACAAATTTTCTTTATTTGGCACCATATTCTCCTTTTTGTCAGTTTAATCCTTTTTCCCCCACAAGATTTTGAACGCTTTTTTTGCCTTTCCCATTTCCAGCGCTTTACTTGCTGTTTCCTCCAGATTACTCATTTGATTACTGTCCTCCTCTTTCTCCTTCCCAACTATGGGGAGCATATCTTGCTCCATTTTGCCTTGCCAGCATTCTTGATCTTCCTCCTGATTCAGCTGAATCTGAGATGTTTCCTTTTTGTTTTCAGGGTGTAATGACCCCAGGGGTCTCTACCTTCCGACGCCACCACTCTGGACTTCAGGTCCCCTGAGAAGGCCCAGAGTACCCACCTAGGCCCATCCAACATGCCCCCTTTTCAGCCAAGAACACACAGGCGTGATTGACCCAGGCAGAGAAAATAATTACCCAAAAAGGGTTTATTAAAAACAACACTGGGGCAGGGAAAACAAGACAAGGCAAGGTGCTTAAAAAGGGTATAACAGGGTTGAAAAGGCAAAATAAACATAAACTAACATAAACTACCTGTTCTACATAAACATAAACTACCTGTTCTACTTCCAGGCCCACAGCCTGCCTAGCACTCACGCTGAGCCCAGTGGAGATTTTCCTCTCTCCCAGACCAGCCTGTCCCCACAGTGAGACCAGGCCGCAGAGAGGGACCCGAAAGAACACCCTGTTTTCCACAGTTAACCGTTAAGACCGACTCTCCTCACACAGTTCAACAGTCTCCTCACAGAATCTTCCTCTCTGATTGGCTATAGCCCCGTTGCTAAGCCTTATGGGGACTGTAGGCTGTCCGCTCACTGCCATGCAGGTCTTTCCTGGGACCAGGCCGCACTAGGCCCTGCTCCCAGTCCTGCACAGATCATGACACCCCCCCACCAGACCAAATCAGGACCCCATTGATGAGGGCTGCATAAGAGTGATCTGTGCTGGTTCTGCCACTTACAGATATAGAAACACATATACAAACAATAATAAACAGTAAACAATATTAGGATCAACATTAACGAGAATACAACATCAGGTTAATTCATTGCAGGCCCTCCTGGGTCAAAGCTCTTGTCAAATGTCTCATCATCCGTAGTGGCAAGGCTTTCGCTGGGAGTAAGTTCTGAATTGGATTTTGCCATTGAGTTCAGAGGTTTTGGACAATCTACTTTCGTGCTGCCTTCAGCTGTACGCCTGGCTACTATATCCTGTAACGCCTTCAGTGCTTTTTGCTCAAACAGTCTGAATTTAGGCATCTGAAGTTCCCGAAGAAGCTCAATTAGAAACTGAGGGCAAGATTCATTTTGAGACATCAG